AACTACTAAAGTCAAGATCCTTGGTCCATCAATCTGCGATCCATTGAGTTTAATTTTTAACTCTGTCCTTCTCATCAGGTGTTTTTCCATCTGTCTGGATTCTGGAAACGCTCCGTTGTTGTCCCCATTTACAACAATAAGGGCAGCAAATCCGATCCAACAAATAATTACCATCCTATTTCCCTCCAAGGGGATTCTACCGCGTGGCAACTTACTTGCACACTTTTTTTACTCAGAACCTGTTGGAACGCAGACATCAGCACAACTTCAGCCTAGTTTGTTTCTTCGACCTATCAAAGGCCTTTGATACAGTGTGGCACCGTGGTTTGCTGGCCAAAGTCGCCACCTTTAACATCGGTGGAAATGTTCTGCGGTAGCTCGAAAGCTACCTTTCCTGCCGGGTCCAACAGGTCAGGGTGTCAGGTTCGCTGTCCCTGTACGCCGATGATACTACTCTTGTGGCATCTGAACTTTCTCTGCCCATGGCATGTAATTAATTCTTTGCAGTCGGAAATTCGCTCAGTCGGAATGGATGCGTCTCTGGAAACTAACGGTGTTACTTCGACCTGGTTGGTTGGTTGGTTTTTATTATTTCAGTTCGTTGCCTCAACAGTACAAAGTACAAACCTAATGCTGGAAAGACTGTAATATTGTGTATTCCACCTCATCCGCGTTCTGATCTTTCCTACATCGACCAGCACCTATTCCACTTCCCTGACGACCGGACGCCCATCCCAATTGTTAGCCACCACAAACACCTTGGAGTCATCATGGCCAGCAATCGAGGACATCTGAGAGTTGTAATTTTTGTACTCCTCCGAGGTGTGATTTTTGGCGTGCTGGGCCAAGCACAAGGAAACCATCTGCAAAAAAACTGCAGAAAATGGTTGTTGTTTGATCCTTTGGTGTAATCTTTGTTTCTAGTCGAAGCTAGTTGCTGTTTGGAGCAGAAACGCTGAAATTGACTATTTTCTGCATGTACTCATACATGTACTCATGTACTCAGGCATGCAGTCTCACTCGTATTTTAGCTCTTTTTCTGGAATGGATGCTGCTCTGCGCCCCTTGGTGAACATTTCCTGCGCTCGTGGAGCAGCTGAAAAGGACCACTGGTATGTCTGGTTCCTGGTTTGAAAGTGGAGAGTCGACTTTTCTGCCTTGAAAAAGGAGCCTCCTTTTTCAAGGCAGTCAAAGGCTTTGACTCAGGCATGAGTTGGTCCCACCATCTGGAGTATCTCGAGCGCTGGATAAGTTCGGCTGTTGGTGTTATACAGTCACATGAGCCATTTACCACTAGTATGTCGTCGGGCTTTCTACGCCTCCTATATCTTACCCATAATTTTATACTGTAGCATTGTGTGGTGCAGTGCTGGAGCAGGAATGCTTACGCGGCTTGAACTAATGCATCGCAGGATTTTGAGAGCGATATTTCGCTTCCCACTTGGCACCCCATCAACAATTCTGTATTCCCAATGCAAAACCTGTCCTTTACAAACCATAGTTAACAGACTCTGCTGTAGATTTATCCATCGGATTAAACTGCTGAAGGCCCCAATGCATATTCAAAATGTGCTTAACTGGTTTAACTCTTCTTCGTCAAGTCGTAATTCACTAAGATTCCCTATTTCAAGAAATAACTCAATGAGTCGTTCGCCTGTTTTCATTAGCTATTGTCTCTGGGACTCGCTTCCCCAAAAACTGAAATCATGTGAAAACAGTTCTGCCTTTGTTCGTGATCTCTCGGACCATTTTCCGTAAACCTAATAATACAACTAACTTGATTTGCAGCCCAATCTCTGCTTTATTGTTGTTGTTCTGATTTGCATTTTTTTTGCCATGGCTGGCTATAATCGCCCTCAATTCCTCTTTGATTGGCCTTGGCCAGGAGTGTGTGCATAATAATAATAATACTAATACGTATTTGAAACTCGGATGTTGACCCATAAATAAATGTAGAAAGGAAAAGGACATAAGGATACGAGTTAAGAGTAACTCTCCATCACTGTAACTGGATGCTATATACAGTCAGAAAGTGCAATAACTAGGCACACAACTGACAAGAGTACTGAGACATTCGACGTCCTGACACCTAGCTTCAACACATCTCCGTAGCGCTAACCGACAGCCTTCCAACTTGGAAGGTTCAAGGTTATGGAAAGACCAAAGAGGGGAAGGCAAGCGCAAAGTTTTCGTTTTCGCAAAGCTTCCCCTTTCTTTACTTATCTTTGATATTTATGACCCACCCAAGTTGGGTGGTGTGCTGCTTTGCTGCTTCGAATTGTAGTTAGACCGCTTTGTCAAATATCGTACTGGTCTCGTCATCGTCCAGTGACAATCGACATTCTTTGTTCCGTTGGGACTGTAGCTTTTGCTCGTTTTCGTTGCGCTTGCCTTCCCACCTTTGGTCTTTCCATAACCATGATAACCTTGAACCTTCCAAGTTGGAAGGCTGTCGGTTAGCGCTACGGAGATGTGTTGAAGCTAGGTGTCAGGACGTCGAATGTCTCAGTACTCTTGTCAGTTGTGTGCCTAGTTATTGCACTTTCTGACTGTATATAGCATCCAGTTACAGTGATGGAGAGGTACTCTTAACTCGTATCCTTACGTCCTTTTCCTTTCTACACTAATACGTATCACTCTCTTATTATTGACCGCCACAGAAACTTGTGATCTCTAAGCGGTCAAATATCAGCATATATTGACCGCTTATATTGACGGGACCGAGGTCTTTTACGAGGTCTATATTTCATATACTAGAGAGGTTGCGCACAACGAAAATTCGTTAGATTTCGACCGTCCGGGTTCGAGTAACGAAAGTTGCTCCGAAGATCCGCCCAAATGTGACCGAAACAGAGCAGATCTACGAAAATATTTTTCGTTACCTGGAGTACTAAAATACTGATATTTTACAACTCCTTGCCTTGACTCTTCGTACCCGCGCGGCCGCAGCGTCGACCCACTACGAAAACGTTCACGCGTTGTGCGCAACCTCACGGTTTACGAATATTCGTTAGCTTTTTTCGTTAAAAATATTCGTTACGGCGCTACGAATTTTCGTTGTGCGCAACCTCTCTACTGACCAATTATGAGGGCAATAATAGATACATGTAGTATATGACTAACAGTCCACCAAGGTAACACGTTCCAGTCACTCATACTCGGCCAGTGCCCCTGTTCATCCAGCCCTTGCCGCTATCGCGGCACGGGTTGGATTCCGCGGTACTGCCCTCGTACTCGTGCAAGAACCTGTACTTATTGTACCAAGCTTGTCCATCATCATTACCGGCATCAACATGGAGTTTAGTAGGATATTGGCTTTCGGTTTGTGACAGTTCGTCTTCCCTGGGCTTCCCCTATGTATGCAGTGCAGTACTGAAAGACATGTATATATAACGAGGAAGCAAATCTAACGTTTTAACGGATGTCATTTCTTCGTTATAATAAGATCCGTTGAGGCCGTACTGCTTCATATACTGTAAGACATGTATATATAACGAGGAAGCAAATCTAACGTTTTAACGGATGACATTTCTTCGTTATAATAAGATCCGTTGAGGCCGTACTGCTTCATGTATGCTGTGTGTGGATATGGCAGAATAGTGCAAGATCGTTAACATATTTTCTCGTTAACCTATGAATTTTGGACAATCGTTAAATTTGCGACTCGTTATAATAACATGTCTTACAGTATGCTGTGTGTGGATATGGCAGAATACTGCAAGATCGTTAACATATCTTCTCGTTAACCTATGAATTTTGGACAATCGTTAAATTTGCGACTCGTTATAATAACATGTCTTACAGTAGTCCCAGAGGCTCTCAGTGCGGTCGCTCCACTGATACAATGATATGAGAGAGAGAGAGAGACACAGGGTAGAGGCAGGAAGGAAGGGAGGGAGAGAAAGAAAGAGAGAGAGAGAGAGAGAGAGAGAGACCGACAGACAGACAGAGATAGACACGGAGAGGACAGTGTCAACAAGAGTAGATAGAACAAAGACGCATACACATAGCCACTTGTTCAATGCTTTCTGAAAATTGCATTTTTCACTACCAGCTGGTGAGAAATAACACTCGAGGTATTGCTTGCCCCAGAGGATTTCAGGGACAACGCAGGCTCTGTGGAACTCTTCCAGTTTAGGAAGGAGCTTCTGCTTCCAACATGCAGCGTCAAATGCAATACGTTGGACATGCACCATACCGCCAGAGAACACAACAAAATCGCGCCACCGGACACCAATGACAGCCATTCCCCCTGTACTTGGGCAAAGTACTTGTGGGCTGAGGCTGCTATCGTCTACATCTTCCCTCACACAGCCAAGCTTGGCCATGCTGAGGAGGCGCTCCACAATATCAGCCTTCCTTGTTGCACCAGTGAGGCAGACATTGACACGCTTGGCCTTGGCTTTACAGAAAATCTCGACATCCTCTCGTTATGGCCAACGCAGCTGTATCCGCACCTTTCCCGGACGGGAAGGCTTGAACAATATCCTCCACAGCTACGGCTGCGCCAGCCACATTGGCGGCCATGACTGGTCACTCCTGTCAGTGATCAACAAAACGTCCATGGCCGCCCACACCAAACAAAGAAGTCATTTCATCCAGGGAGTCGTAAAATACCGTATTTTACGACTCCCTGATTTCATCCTTTTTCCGACATTTACATATTAAATCATAATAAATTATTATTTTGTAGTTTTGAATTAAATTTGGGTGCAGCTAGCTACACTTAGCTGCACCGTACCGCGTCGGTAGCGGTGTCGCTTTTGTTTTGTTGCCAACCAAACAATGTGACGCGTACAACGTTTTGCTATGGAAACGGAACCTGGATCAAGAGTCCATCGGCATCGCGTATCGCGCTCGCGCTGCATATCGCGAATCATCTATTAATTAAATTTTATATGCGCATATATAATATCATGTATGCTAGCAGCTAGCAGCAGGCAAGGCATATGCCGGCATGCGCTGAAAGCGTGGATCAGGCCTGCAGGTCTGATAATTATTTTGAAATAAGACGGATCAGCGCAGCTCAGAAGAGAAAGAAGCAGAGACCAGATTAATTTTACTCCTTGTTTTATTAGTCAGCAATGTTCTAATGTCAGTAATGACTATGTTCACAATCACTGTGTGTTGCTTCAGGAGTTCACTACTGAACGCAGCTGCGGATAATGTGCCGTCTAGGATCAGAACTTAGCTACAATAATTATTTGGCACTGTTAGAGACATCATACTGTGGGCAATATAGTACGTCAGAACAGCTCCTGCATTTTATTTGTAATAATTATTGTCTCAGAAGTTAACGTTTTCACACAAGTCATAGATTTAGTTCGCGGACAGACAAGCATAGCATTATCATGGATGCAGCTGATGAAGCTAGCTTTGATGACAATATCGTTGCACACTACGACTGGACGGTTAGTTCTGTCGTTTCAAGATAATGTTTATTGCAGCTGGTGGTCAAAATAAATCGAGCCTCATGAATATAGAAAACAGCTCCAGCTCAGCACCATTTTCTATTATTGTGCATTGTGCTTTAGTAGGGATAGCCAGGGCATGTTTTTAACTACAGAATATACTTCGTAGGGTGTAGCTGTACTTTCAATAGTTCTACCAAAGGGTTCAAGAGTTTTGGACGTTTGGTACCAAAACACAGACCGAGAGTGTACTTTGTAACAGGAAAGCTACGTCTAGCTCTCCGAATAGCAACCCTGTCTCTCTCTGTGCATCCTTAGTCGTGATGGAATTCAAACGCCGATAGTCGACGCAAAGGCGGATGCACGTATTGGGTTTGTGCACGATGATGATGGGGGCAGCCCATGGCCTGCTGGATGGTCCAATGATGTTGTTGCCGAGTAGCTCCTGTACGTGCTCTTGGACTTCGTTTTTCTGATGTAGGGTGAGGCTGGTCTCGGTGGTTGTTTGAGTGGTCATTCTGGTGCGGTGTTTATGGTGTGAGGCATTGCTGCTGACTGACCTTGGTCTAACTTTCCCTGGAAATGACATCACCATTGCCATTCAACAGACAACAGACCGATTAGGTGGGATCGTTCCGAGTCTGGAATGTGCAGCAGGTTGAAAAGGTCGCTCGGGCTGTGAGATATGGAGCTGTCAGCAGTGGCACGCGAAAAGTCGTCCTCAGCGGCAGTATTCACAGCAGTTCATTGCATTCACAGCAGTAGCAAAAAATAAACAGTAGCTTGCACTCATTGGCATCGTTGCTGTTGGTGTGCTGTCTTAACACATGCCATGAACACGGGCACTCCTTTGGCTTAGTCGCCGTTTTTTGCAGGCGCATACCTCTATCCACATTGAACCATCTCAGTGTCTCTAGTGTCTCTGAATGGGCTTTTAGTTTTCAAGTTGGGATACTGGTCATCTGGACATGGTTAGTAACCTCCCACTGATACCCGCTTGTTTTGCATGGATGCATGTATTGAAAATAGTGACAAATAGAAGTCAGCGTCTCTGGAAGGTCCGCCATTGCTCTGTGTGTGTATGTTCTCTCTCTCTCTCTCTCTCTCTCTCTCTCTCTCTCTCTCTCTCTCTCTCTCTCTCTCTCTCTCTCTCTCTCTCTCTCTCTCTCTCTCTCTCTTTCTCTATGCTGCATGTCGTTATACCATGTCTTGTGATTTAGATTTCGGCATTGGATGTGGACTGCAATGGCAAGTTTGCAGCCCTAGCATCGTAAGTGTGCGCGCGCGTGTGTGTGTCTGCGTGTGTTTTGTGTGAGGACAGGGTTTAACATGTATGTAGCTGTGTAGATTCTGAGTGCAAGTCGAAGAGAGAGAGAGAAGCTCAAGGTCTTTTGGTTGTACCATTAACTAAAAGTTTGTCTGCGATTACTGTAGTTCTTAATGAAATGGACAGGTTTTATTTTAGATACACCCACCAATCCCTGGTGCTTTTTTCTCTTTTCAAAACAAAGCTGGGCTTACCCATATGCCACCTTCAAGCGAAATATTTTTTCCCGAAAAAAAGGTCAATGATCAAGGACGAAAACCTTCCAAGGGTTGATTAGCGATTTGATGTTTGCAGCTGAGAAAGATGGGGGGGGGGGGGGCATTTAGGACTAGGTGTGTGTTAGCTGGCAATAGCTGCCCTTGCCGAGTCTGTACAGTATGGATCGGCTATAGCGTTGGTGTTTGATTTTCGTGAAAATATCACTATAGGCGATATACTATAGGCGATATGCATACTTAGGTATGCCTGACAAATGCGTGTATGGTGTCATTCGAATCAGTGCAGCGTGCAGAAGCGTGCTGTGCATGTGACTGTGCAATACGCGCAGTGCAGAGCTACTTCCTGCGGAAACAAAAACTTAGTGACTTTTTGACATGAGTTTTCAAGGAGTTGCTGTGCTCAACAAATGTGTTCTTTTGGAAGAGAAACACTTCAACACATTCAATCGACATATCAACAATATCTACAGGATCGATTAGTGGGAGTAGAGTCCCAGTCTGGGTCGCCATCGCTCGACTCATCACCACTGAAACCGTTCCAAGTGGCAGGTCGATCGACGCGTGATGTCGTATGTCACGGAGAAGCTTCTCCGCGTCCCTGATCGTCTTCGCTGTTACCTTAATGCTTTCTCCAACATCTCGGCGGAGACCACGGTAGCGCTTCAGCGCTTGTACTCATTACTGCCTCCAATCTCGCTCGAGGATGCCCCGGAACAACAAGCACAGCCAACGCCAAACAGTTCGAATTTCCTCCGAGGGATATCATAGTCGTACCAGCGCTTCCTGGCTGCCACGATCAGATCTCGCTATGTACGATTTATAATATTTTATGATCATCACTATAGCCGATGAAAAATGTATGCAATAAGATCATTTTGACAAAGAAATCGTATCATTATAGCCGATATATTACTATAGCCGATCCGATATGTATAGAAAGGGGAGGTTTACGAAAATGAATTTGAGAATACGTTCACTATAAGAGGTATATTACTATAGCCGACAACCCTATAGCCGATCCGCACTGTATTTGCCACCAGGCTCTATGGCTAAGTATGGCGTTTGGAAATGCAGTCATTGTCATGGCGTGTTTCTTGCTTTATGGGTGTAGATTGTATCATTAATGAGTTACCATCATTATCATTCTTATCATCTTCCTTCTTCTGTTTAGTAAGAAATGGATTGCACTCATCGATCTTGACAAAGCTGCAGAACCAAGTGGTCGGCGTAAGCTGATGCGTGATAGCAAATGGGAGACGCATACGTTGCGCTGGAACCCCCATGCGTCCGACAGCGATGTGCTTCTGGCATCGGTAAGCATATGTGTGTATGTGTGTGTGTGTGTGTGTGTGTGTGTGTGTGTGTGTGTGTGTGTGTGTGTGTGTGTGTGCGTGCGTGCATGCGTCTGTGTGTGTGTGTGTGTGTGTGTGTGTGTGTGTGCGCGTGTGCGTGCATCTGTGTGTGTGTGCGTTTGTGTGTGTGCGTCTGTGTGTGTGTGCGCTCGCACGCGCGTGTGTATGAGTGTGTATTTTGTGTGTGTGTGTGTGTGTATGTGTTTGTGCGCGTGTGTGAGTGTGTGTGTGTATGTGTTTGTGCGCGTGTGTGAGTGTGAGTGTGTATTTTGTGTGTGTACATGCATATGTACTACATGTATCATTATAGCATCGCTCTGCCAAGCTGTACATTTTGTAGGTTCGTATGCCGGAAATCAGATATATCATAGAACTCGCGAGGTTGTGAGAGAAGGGGAAAATGTAAAAACAACACCATCTGGTTGTTACCTGGAGGAATTGAACAAGGGGGGGGGGGGGGGGGGCTTAAGTGTTCTATTTGTTTGTGTCTCTCTTCCTTTTTCTGGTGTTCACTTGTGTGGTTGTATTCAAAAATGTGTGCATGCGGGTGATCTTTGCATATCATAGCTGAACTTCAAGATTGAAGTGTGGAGAACAGAAAGTGCCGATGCCGGAAAGCGTCAACTCTTGCGCGCCCACACCCTCAGAGTCAGGTAGGTCATCAGGCATCACCAATACTAGTAGTGTTTTTTGTGATGTTGTGTACCGTGTGGCATTCTTATACATGTACCTAGCTGAATGAGATTATACTGAGTGTAGATTGCATATTGGGTTAAATTTCACCAACCTGGTGTAAGGTGTGTGGGAAAGGCCGTTGGTTCATCTCCGAAACTGGAATCAATTGAATTCTTGGAAATGGGCCCATAGGCACATCACAACGCCAGCAGTAATGCCTGATTTTTTCCCTTTATGTCATTGAGCCCGTTTGGTTTGAAAATCAGTTGTTTCTCTTGTTTCCATGTGGCTACTTGCAGTGACTTATGTTGGTCGCCGACCGAACCTCATCTATTCGCATCTTGCTCCATGGATGCATTCGTCTACATCTGGGATTTACGGTGAGTCATCGCAGGCCCATTGTATGTTGTGCTCAAGAAGGTTTTCTTTACGTGAGTTGCCTATTCTCACCCCGGTATTTTCATGATTGCACTCCGCTGTGTGTTCAATAGTTTCAAGTCACTGTATAGCAGGAAATTTTCGGACGGGAATATTTTCGGACAAAGCCGAATTTCGACCTTTCATTTGGATTTTATTTTCCTACTGTGCTGCATGCTAAATGCAAGTGTTCGCATGCAGCACGCATGTACATGTATAGTGTTCATAATTTCGCATGAACACATTTTAGTACGGAATTAATTTTAGTACAAAAGAGGCCGTGTACGAAATCGTACGAAAATCAATTCCGTCCGAAAAATTTCCTGCTATACAGTGTCCTGCTCCTGTAAGAGAGCAGGAGAAGTATGGTGCTGCACAATTAAGTCCAGCCGTGCGAGTCAGTTAGCACCGGGCGCTGTGCAGCCCTGTTCCTGAGAACGCTGGGCTGGGCACTAGCTTATTCACAGGACTGGGATCTCAATGAGCATGAATGTACATGGCTGCTGGAGTTTGATTGGTGATGCATTGCATGATAGCTCATAGCGCCGTACATTCTGATCAGGAGGAGTTGATTTAGTATGGGCGGTACCTGATTTTATCGCTCCTTTTGATTGTGTCTGTTCTTTTATCTTCATGTCGATCTGTTTCTTGTATTTGCTTGTCTTGCCTGCGTTCGCGTTATGTTGTGCCGTATAGAGATGCAAGGAAGCCGTGCACTGCCATGAAGACTATAGGTACATACCCAGTGTTGTATCGGCCTGTCGCTGCTGCTGCTGCTGCTGGTGGTGGTGCTGGTGCTGCTGCTGCTGCTGCTGCTGGTGGTGGTGCTGCTGCTGCTGCTGCTGCTGCTGCTGCTGGTGGTGCTGCTGCTGCTGCTGCTGCTGCTGGTGGTGGTGGTAGTGGTGGTGGTGCTGCTGCTGCTGGTGGTGGTGGTAGTGGTGGTGCTGCTGCTGGTGGTGGTGGTAGTGGTGGTGCTGCTGCTGGTGGTGGTGGTGCTGCTGCTGCTGCTGGTAGTGGTGGTGGTGGTGGTGGTGGTGCTGCTGCTGCTGCTGGTAGTGGTGGTGGTGGTGGTGGTGGTGCTGCTGCTGGTGGTAGTGGTGGTGGTGCTGCTGCTGCTGGTGCTGGTGCTGCTGCTGGTGGTGGTGCTGCTGCTGCTGGTTGTGGTGGTGCTGCTGCTGGGGGTGGTGGTGGTGCTGCTGCTGCTGCTGCTGCTGGGGGTGGTGGTGGTGGTGCTGCTGCTGGTGCTGCTGCTGGGGGTGGTGCTGCTGCTACTGCTGCTGTAGATGATGATGCTGCTGCTGCTGTGTAATTGCATACAATATTGGCACGGAGTGACTTACACGTGGTGTGTTGGTGCAGCATTGTGTCTGAGGACTGCTGTGGAGCAGCTATGCTAGTTTTGTTCATGGGGTGTATGTACTGTATGCACTTGGATGCTATAAGATGTTGGTCAACATGATAAAAGCTACAAAGAGAGTTAAAGACTTCGGGTAGAACTTAGTACTATCTGCTACACGCGTTGCTTTCCCTGTAGAAAGTCAGCACGCTCACTCTGAAACTACCCCGGGTTTGGAAGTTCTACGCCATCCGTGGTCTGTGCAACTCGCGATCAAGATCCCGGCCTTGATCTGCTAACCCCAAGCGTGACCCAGACAAGCGATGCTATAAACGAGCGTGTATATATCGGCCCTGCCCCATGTAACGGGCAGCCCAGGGTCGAAACCCACATGATTTAGCCTGTGTCGTCTCCCTATGCTATGACTCCCTGCTGTTAAACAGCATCAGTTATACGTACATTTAGAAGTATGATTGATGATGTTTGATGCTGCTGTCTGTGCATACAGCGGGTAGCTCACAAGTGAAGTGGAACAGCTTCAATGACAACATCCTTGCCTCTGCTCACGACATGGATGTTCGCCTCTGGGATAGACGTGTGAGTGGGTCACCGGTTCTCGAACTGATCTGCTCTGATCGTGTCACTCTTGCCTATTCCCTGCCCATTCCCTCCTTCTCCCCCTTTCCTCCACATTTTTCATGTTCTGTTTTTCCCGCCGAGGCAAGAGATTCTTTCTGTGCTAGTATATCAGTTCGGTGCCGTGCGGCATATATGTGTCTTATTCACCACCATGGATGCATGGTATCCATGGTGGCATTTGGTATTTGTTGACGAAGTGTTTGGTTTTGTTTGTGCCCCCAGAAACCCCAAATTGCATCACAGTACATCAGCGCTCACATCAAGCAGATTCACGGCATGGATTGGTGTCCCACCGTTGCTCACAAGCTCAGTACGTGCAGTCATGATGGTCGTGTCCAGGTAGGTGGTAACGGCAGTGTGTTGTTGGCCACCGTGCAACTTTGTGATGACCGTATTCCACAGTTATGGTCTCAGTGTGTATCTTTCGGCGCTGGCCCCATAACGTACATGTAACTCTCCTGGGGAGATCGTCTGTACTACTTTAAGCAACTGCAGTTTTGTTTCGTTTTTGCTCTTGTGACGTCATCCTCTACAAGGCGCATGTCACACACCACCAAACAAGCTTGAAGTTCTATGGATGAAAAGTGCAGGTCTACCTAGACTAAGGTCTTGTATGCAGTGCATGGAGTCAACAAAGCCACCGCAATAAAAATAAAAATGCGTTCACCTCAGGTTTCCTTATATGCCTGTGTGGCTCTTGCAACCTCTTTGTCCTGCTGCTGATGCGAATTACCGTATCTTTATAAAAAAATCTATTTCCGTATTTCTCTCAGGTGTGGAATACCGAGCAGGCTCGGATTTCACAGCCAGAAACCACGCTAAACATTGGAGCACCTGTCTGGAGAACGAAATTCACTGTGAGTGGCACCATGGATTCTTTGACTGCCCGTAGCTAGGCCTTACAGATATTGTGTGTTAATCATGCATTAACAGAGTGACTGTCCGGAATTTCAGCCTGGTTACTCCTTATGCCGTTATGGTCGTTTTGTCAATGTGCAGAAACACAGTCGTTCCCGCTTTTATCGCTTTTATTTTTGTGGTTTTTCCGAGAAACGAATGCTAGTTTTATCCAAATCATGCAATTACTCGGCATGATTTGTACAGGTAGCAATAATCTATGTCTGATGTTGATCGCTGCTGTACCAAGTCTGAATGCAAGATGCACTCTGCTAGTGTTCCGGTTATTAAATGTAGAAAACTATTACCGTTATTTGTGTTAAAACGTGAAAGTTTTCTTTGCTGATGTCTTCTGGACTCTCTTTCCCGTTGTCGTTTTGTGCAGCCATTTGGATATGGCATGGTGACAACGCTGCGTTCACAGCTACACGGAGTGCCGGAGCACAACCTGCAGCTGTGGAACCTCGCCGATGTTTCAGCGCCGGTGCATTCTTACAGTGGGCACACTGATGCTGTGCTGGACTTTACTTGGCAGACGAAAAACAGTGGTGGTCAGTAGCGCGTTTGCCCGGTCTGTGTGACGATGTGTGAATAGCCTCGCCAGTTCAAGCCTGCAGTCACATACCGTAGAATCCCACGGATAAGCCCACCCGCGTATAAGCCCATGCTCGCGCATAAGCCCAGGGCAAGTTCGAGCATCGCGAAGCTTCGTTGTACAAGCCCATGGGCCTGGTGTCGGCGTATAAGGCCATGCCCGTGTATAAGCCCATGTTCTTGTATAAGCCCACCGAAATGTTCTTGTGAAACAGATAAGCCCATGGGCTTATCCGCGGGATTCTACGGTACACAACAGTACAAGTACGGGCAATCGGCTAGTAGGTATACTATAGTTTGCCATTGCATAGGCATCTCCATCCCCGTTGTGCAGGGAATATGTTTGCACTACTCGGTGACTACATGTACTGTCAAACAGTGAACACTGGTATGACTGTGGGATTCAAGAAGCAAAACGCCACCACTCAGAAACATCCGTACGGAAGCCAGCCAGATGATGTAGATTATCACCGTGTGAAGCAACACAGGACGGAGTGGACTCTTAGCTGGCCTTGTCTTGCTCCAAGGGAAAGCGGTTGAATTGTGTATACCAATCCTACCACCATTTCTACTACTGATTCTGATTCCAGACCATCCTTCCGCGCGCTCGTGCGTGCACACACGCACACACACACACACACACACACACACACACGCGCACACACACACACACACACACACACACATGTGCAGAAGGAGCCGTTTTCTGTACTCGTTGCGACTGTGCCCGGTGGGCAGGGCTGTGCCCGGTGGGCAGGGCTGTGCACATTGGGGTGAGCATAGTAATGAGGTTGTATACGGTGCACATTGGTACTGTTGCTGAGTACAAGTACAGCTGTAGTGTGATTTCATTCACTATGTCTATATTTACATGTACTAGTATGACTGTATTCTTTGATGTGGTATGGAATAAATAAGTGACTTGCTCTGATTGGTTGCTTTTCGGATGGCTGTGTGCAGATCGCAAAAACTACATCATGATGTCCGCCTCCAAGGATCAGACGTTGAGAAGTTGGATGATTGATGAGCAGGTTCGACGGGTGAGCTTCCTCGCAGCATGCGACAATTCCTAATTTCACAGAGTGCCCATTATGGCCCCAACAAACTGTGCCATTCGTCAGCAAAACGGGATTTTCAACAGCCAGTTCACATGATCTATACTGGGTATGCTCCCATTGGCCTTGCACATAATCTTTTAAATATTTTTTACTATGAACACAGCCCTACTGGGAAACATGTGGATGACAATTAACGTTAATTACTTAAACAAGACAAGGGGTACCTGCACTGATCAGACCGTTGCTGGCTCTCTGTGTACTGTGTACCCACCCTGCCATGTTGTATTCATGTGTGCACGCATCAGACCGTTGCTTGCTGGTTCTCTGTACTGTGTACCCCCACCGTGTTGTGTGTTCAGGTGTGCACGCCAGGAGGAGGAGACAGGGCAGCCCTGGCCGTCAGCAGCAGCACATCGCTGAGCCTGTCCAGCTCACTGCCGCTGTCGGCGGTGGCGCAGCTGTCCGGCAGCTTCCACGATGGCATGGAGCTGGGCGGCGCGGGCGAGCAGGACGACGGCAAGAACGTGTCGCGTGCCCCGTCCGGCCACGACCTGGCCCTGGGCGCCGCCGTGTTGAGTCAGGCTGACAGCAGCACCGTCGGCATGTCGCTGACAAGCTCTGACACCAGTGCTGGACCGGTACCGGCCGTCTTTGCACAGCCGCACACGCTGGCACATGAGTTTGCACTGCTCAACCTGCAGATCGACGGCCTGCACGTCGACAAGGTAGGCAGGCACTGCGTGCCGTCTGCGTCCCACCGTGTGCGTGTGTGCTCTTTGTTCTATGCCCGTGTTCATGTGTGTGCGTGTGTGGGTGTGGGTTTGAGTGTGTGCGCGAATGTAGGTGTGTGCCATGCATTGTATATGCTGCTTTAATTGTTTGATGCATGGGCTTATAATTGTACATGACTGTATCGCCAATTAGCTTTTGCTTTGGCTTTTTGCAATGCTGCAGCTTGACGCTGGACAACGGATCTGCATTGCATCCGTCACCGGCGCACAACTGTATGCCCAGGTGACAATCAGCTTTCCCGCGCTGTACCCCAACGACGCCGCACCATCCTTCCACTTCTCCGACAAGTCCACCATCGACAACAGTGGCAAGTCGCAGCTCACCAGTGTAAGCATTCCTGGCCTGACAACGTGCCTTTTACTATTGAACTAGGTGCTCTCTGCGTGCTCCTTGTAAATGTGTGGATGGTAACTCCAATTCCACTTCAAGGTACAGTCAGACCTCGTTTAACCGCACACATCCGTTTTCCACAAAAATATCCGGATAGGCGAGGGAACCGGATAATCGAACACACACACTGTATGTATGCTGTAAATCGGTAACCAGCGATTTTCTTCCGGATGGCGAGGGATCCGGATAAAAGAGGACCGGATAAGCGAGGTCTGACTGTACCAGTGCATCTAGTGTCTGCTTCCCATTAATTAAAGAGCAGAATGCTGTCTATACTGGTTACCCCAGCAAGTGTGGGGTGTACATAGGTAGCTGTCTTGGTCTGTTTGTTCCGATGTGCTCCGTGTGGTGTAGACCCGGTGTGCTTTGGGGGGTCGATTCACATGGCTTCACCAGTTATGTGGATCGGGTAGTTACCTGGTGCAAGTCTTGCTCGGTTTCAATCAGATCTTGCGTGTGCATTCGTGCGTGCCCTGCAGGTTCTCATCAGCACATCAAAGTCACTTGTCAGCTTGAATCGACCCTGCTTGGAGCCGTGTCTTCGTGACCTCGTGGCACATATGCGAGTGAGTTATTGTACATGTACTGACTCCTGTTCAATGCAGTGTCTCTAACTGCTGTTCAATGCAGTGCCTCCAGCCAACACACAGCTGTGTTTGTGTGAGTGTGCCGGGTGGTAAGTCAGCTGGCCTCCACTCCCACGAACCACTTCATCGTCATCATAGCTGCAGATGGGGTACCTACATACGTGGAGGATGGTGTTTATGTTTTGGTGGTTTGGGTCTCTACGGTCAGAGTTATAATTATCTTGTGCCCTGTACGACCTACGGTATTTCCAGAGGAAAGCTAGAAATTAAATTTGCAACAAACTTAGTCATTACATTGGAATCAATCACTTCACCACTTGACATTGGGCTCTCTCGGCTTACACATCGCCACCATAGCGAGGACAATTCCGTTGAGATTTTGATATTGTCAGGCCCACCGGACAGCTGTTTCTCTCCGACAGAGCTCATCAGTGAAGGGCCCCAGGAGCCTCCGAGATTCCTGCTCTGAGTCTGTCTACATGTAGTTTCAGTTTGTCTGACCTTGTCACATCACCGGGTCCAGTACACACTTGTGCATCAACCTCTAGATATTCCTTTCTGTACGTACCTGTATGTGTGGCAAAGTAGGTCACTAGAAGAACCTCTCGCACTTTTATACTGTCTTCTAGCGCAGGTCCCAGCAATGTGTGCTTGCATTATCACCTGTGTTAGAACTGTTACCACCTTTATCACCTCAGTTCCCTAGGGCATGCTACTTAACCTTTCTATCGTAGAAAGTGCGTAGTTGTGTCAGCTTTCCCTGTATAACACCATCCATTTGCGGTAAACAATCATTCATGGTCTACCACCTCCACTTATGAGCCCTGTTGGAGAGAAAAGCTGTCTGGATGGTCTGGCAATGTTAACATCTCGACATAATTGTCCTCGCTATAGTGGTGATGTGCAAATGGAGTGGGTCGGCCGAGAACAGATCGTAGAGTTCTGAAGAGATTGATTTCAACGTTAAAACTGGCTAGGCTGCTTGAGACAATCATTCAATGTTGTATTGCACTTGTGCGTTGCTGGGTTTAGTGATGTTTCGTTGTAATTTTCTACATTCATTTCACATTGTGTGGGTGTGTATCCGTGATTGTGTGTTTGTGTATTTGCATGCTTGCTTGTGTGTGTGTGTGTGTGTCTGTGTTTATGCGTGCGTGCTTGGGTGCGTGCGTGCGTGTGTGTAATCCCTCAGTCGGGCCTGCGTCCCATCAACAGTGTGAGCCGAGCGCAAAGCCTGGGCTTGTCTCGGCCGGCCACGTCCGTTGTGACCAGCTACGGCAACACATTAGATGATCATGTGCCATTCCCGCGGACATCAGGAGCACGGTTCTGTGGCAATGGTAGGGCGGCTGTGTTGCCTGAAAGGAATGGCGTAACCCTTTAAGGGCCGCTTGGGATTTTCAAAATTCTGCATATATTTTCATCTTCTTTGGATATCGTGTTTTGCTCCCTACATGGGAGCTCGCGGTTTTCCTGCCGACTTGAATTCTCACTTGACTGACTCACGACTGCCATCCAGAGCACACGAGAAGACCATCGAACCGCCCACTCGGCGAACCTGCAAGAAAGCACCACTCCCTGCTCAATACACAGTGTTTCGGGGAATTCACCCCTCATCAGTTGAGCTTGAGTAGGCTGAGGAATATTGTGCGTGAAGAGCACCATTTATATAGTGCTCTCCAGGTGCAAACATCACTAGGGATACACTTACAGAGACGCTCCGTTTCCAGCGCGACAAACACCTCGTGAACACCAGATAGCAGCGTGAGTCAGTGTCGCTCATGGAGGTGCTGAACAAACACTGGGGACCGTTGGCCATTCACAACGCTGTTGCCTCCGAACCATCTAATTCGCAAGCCCGCGCTGGGGACAACAATGTGAAGAAGAGGTTTGTGCGACTTCGGTGATACTTGGGGAATTGTGTGTTGCTTCCTACATGGGAGCTCGTGCTTTTCCTGCCGACTTGAATTCTCACTTGACTGACTGGAGTCGGCAGGAAAAGCACGAGCTCCCATGTAGGGAGCAACACACAATTCCCCAAGTATCGCCGAAGTCGCACCAACCTCTTCTTCTTTGGATATCGTAACTTCAGTTCTACTCACTCGATCTTCACAACCGTAGGCTTCCTGGAAAGGTCTCTTAACTGCTATCCATTGAAGACAAATAAACTATAGCTGCGTAATTTGATAATGGCCGTGATCTGAGGCCTTGTAGTACTGTGATAGATGCCCATAACCAAGTGTTTAGTTTAATACTATCTGGTTTGGGGAACGACAAAGTTTAATACTTCAGTATTAATTGTACTGGAGCAAGTCCAATGTAGGTCAGTTGTTTCTTTCCGGTCTAGGAAAATTGCAAGACTAGTCCGTGTTTGGTGCACTGACATCATACACGAGACTCCCTTTATTCTGATATTCTGGTGTACTGCATTGTGGTGCAGGCTTTCTGGTAATATTCAAGCGTCCGGAGACACTAAAGGCGCCGCCGAACGTCACCACACCTCGTTCGCTGGCCGAACTAGCTCTGATCTGTAACAGCTACCGACGGCCCGGACCACCATCCGCTCTTCAGCAGAGGACGGCATCCATCTCCGGTTACTATCGCCTCAATCAAGATTCTGTAAGTCTATCACGGCCGTATCACATGATGTACCACATGGCGGATTTCTCGGCTTGTTGACACCTTTCCCTGTGAGCCAGTATTACAGTGTAGGAACACATTGTCTGCATATGCATGTATCTACAAGCCTGATTTTCAAGATTCACTGTCGGCACATAAGCCTGGTTTTAGTGTTGACGCACATAGAAATACCTGGTTTGAAATAGAAGCCTGATATGGGTAGAAGCCTAGCCCTGACATCGGCTTCTACAGGAATACGCCCGGCTTTAATACGCGACATTACGGTATCATGTATGTCTATGATGCATGCGTTGTGCTCTCCAGTGAGGCTTTGTTTGATCTCATGCCTGTCATTTCTTTTCAGGGCCCGTCGCTAGTCAAGCCCATAGCAATCTACGAGACAGCGCTGCTGCTCAAGCTGCACAAGTCACTGGCACTATCGGCACGGTGCGTACACATATCCTGTTCTGTGCTACGCTGAGTACTTTAATTTCAGAAATTTTCGGTGCTCAATATTTTCGGTATGAGGGCAAAAGGCAAGGTTAGGTGAACAAAAATTTTAGGTACAGAGAAGCAGTTACCTATTGGATTATAGTGTTTGTTCGGTGTATTGAAATTTTAGGTATGAAACAGATGCACCGAAAGTACCGAAAATAAAAGTACATGTACACCGAAAAGTTGTGAAAATTACAGTACGACTAGTACTCCAGGCTAGTTTGTGTGTTTCTGAACATTCAAGCGATGCCGACGCGGATCCCGCGAATATTAGGGAGGTTCCGGAGTAAGATTTTCGTGCCAAAATCCGTGGAGGCTCTACGGATTTTTTATACGTCGTTTTCGAGCAGTGAAAAGTTCCGGGGTACGGAACTTATGTGTTTGCCGTCATTGCCTAGGTTACGATCGCAAACACGTCACATTCCCGCGCAATGCCTTTTTATTTTGAAAATTTGTACCGAAATCAAAACTTCCCGCGAAAAATCGATGTTTCTCGTACCAAATTTGTACGCGAAAAATCTTTCTGCACCCGATGACGCAAAATCTCCATACGAAACATGGTTCGTATGAAAGCCAGTCCACACGGATTCTCCGTGCCGAAAAATCGTATGGAGCACGCCTGGAAAAAATCCGTAGCGCCCGTACGGATTTTGGCACGGAAAATCGTACCCCGGAACCTCTCTATTATTATTATTACTAGTACTCCATTGTTCACCCCATGGCCGGCCATACGTACGTACGTGTCTGGAGATAATGTGGATTTTGTAAAAAAAAAACTACATGTTCTACATACAGCTTTTTTACAGGCCAGGTAGACGAAAAGTGTGCCCGCTGGATCGAACTCAATCTTCGTACAGAAGTCTGAGAAGAGCAGCTTACAATAGACCGATCCCCTTATTATACTGGGTTCGAGCACGGGGGCAACCTCACTCGCGATCGAGCTAGTTTTTGAACGTGACAGCATCTTTGACAGTGTGTTTCAGGTTTGTTTTGGAATGTCTTCTGCTTAGTTCAAGTAGTTTGCGATGGCTTCGAGCGGTGCTAAACCTCCTGCTGGTAGGAGCAGAGTCTCCGAGAGAGACATGGACTGTGATGCCGCTGCAGGATTTTTTCAAGGCGCGGGAGGGAATGATCTCGGGCCACAAACAGAAGTTACTCCAGAGGTGAGTTTTTTTGTTGTTGAAATATTCGAATCGCGAATCGTGTTGTGAGATTTATTTTGTGCCTAGGCTACAGCAGACCATATTTCTTTCTCCTTGCGATCGGTGATGAAGATAATAGTAACCTTTTTCTGGTCTGTCTTTTCCTTTCCAGAGCCATCTTCTATGAAGGTTACCGTGGTGCTGCCAAGTCACCAAGTCGCGATCAGCAGCCCTGAAGTGGAAAAATCGATTTTCCAACGATCTGGTTGGACATCAGCCACTAAAGTACTTCTGATTTGCCTGTAGTGACAACAGCAGCCATCCTTGGACACCTTGCAAAGACAGGAAAAGCCACTGGTGGAAGCGACTGCTATGAGGTGACGATAGCAGTGCAGTGGTGATCGCTGTTTTGTCAAGTCGAAGGGCTAGCCAACCCAGAGGAAGCATAAAAAACGATGAGCAGTGCGTGGTATTTGTTGAGCGTGAAGAGCTAGAGGAGGACAGTGCAAACACATGGACGGAGTGGATGGTGTTTGAAGAACAGTGTGCTGTGTGCCGGCTGGTGGTGATGGTGGTCTTTTTCAGCATGTATTCGTGCTGCTTCTTGTGCTGGAACACTTCTCGCCCAGGAAGGCAGATTGCGTGCTCCCTGGCCCTCAGTTGGCAATGGGGCATTTGTTCCAGGAACATTACCCCAGAGCCAATGATGAGTCGTACCTTTGAAAAGTCGAAGCTTGCTGTTAATCGCAAGCGTAGTGCAGTGGATTGCTCCCTCTTCGAAGCACAAGGGCCAAAGCTTGCCGCTGTCTGCAGCAAAGTGTGTGTGCGGTTCTTTCGAACCTATGAATATACCCCCCTGCATGTTCAGAGTGAACTATTTTCTAGTATATTTAACATCCTCAACCCGCCACCACCATGCGCTCTTGGCCGAACTTATGCACGAAGCATAAACACACCAGCACAGCAAGGACACTTCCGTTGACAGATATTGTTTACGCCTCTAGACCGCTGTTTCTTTTCTTCGAGCTCATCGTTAGAGGAGGATAGTAGCAGGATACTAATGATGATATAATATAAGATGATAGACGGTTTATGGTCCGATATTGATGATTGAAGATCTAAGAAAGCAATGACAGTGATTGCGAAATGGATAATATTATCATGATTATATGCCAGTCTGGTAATGCGTTGTACTAGTGGACAGTATTGAAATCATCCTGCATTCGATGCAAATATTGGTATACCTTTGGTTTCAGTATTGGAAAAAAAGAGTAAGAGAACCTGGTTGATTTGGTTGCATCTGCGACTGGCTACCGGGTGTTGTGATCAGCAATGTTACCATGGGAGAAAATAAGGTAATCATTAGTGGTGAAACGAATATACCGAATATTCGAATATTCGTTCGGTTTGTCAGATTCGAACGAATATTTCTTATGGCGAATATTCGTTAACCCGGTATGCAGAGTTTACCGGGCGACTTCAAACTTCCATAACTTCGCGAATACTTGACCGAATCACTTCATCGAAAGGTCTATCGGCATGAGAAAACTCTCAGCTGTCGTCTGGAAGCAACTCGAACGCGATCCGAGGTCCTGGAATGGAGTTATGGCGGTCGAACGAAAATAACGTCTCAAGCTGGGTTTTTTAGCGTGTAACATGCACTTCAGATGGGGAATTTGTGAAAATTGACCTAGAAATGATGGAAAATATGCGCCTTCGTTTGTCATGCCTAATAATAGTGACTATATCCAATAAAATGACTGAGAGGAGGGCGTATGATGTCATCTGTGTTAACGAAAGAATATTCGTTCGTTCGTTCGTTAAGCCAAAGAATATTCGGCTACTGGGTTTTGATATTCGTTTCACCACTAGTAATCATGCAGTTTAGGGTCCCAAATTATTTCGCACTTTCCCAGTGTTCAGTGTACTGTCACACGCGTTTTCAGCGTACTTTCACATCATGAACTTTATTTTCATGAAAACCGAGGACAGATCAGACTGGGTACTGCTGGTGAACACTGCGGAGCAGGGAGCCGAACGTGTTGTCTTCCGCGCGAACTCTCTGTCTCCACACGAACTCGCAGAGGTACGTCGGGAACAACTCTCGCGAGGTGCCGAAGTTGCGCTTCAGTTGGCGCTTGGCCCGCATCCACATGTTTTCCACGTTGTTGGTGTGGATCGTTCGGTCGTCCGGATCCACAAAGTTGTCGTCGTGCTGGTATACGCCACCGTCGATGTTCCTGATCTGCGCGTATGCGGCTCAGCCGTCAGAGATGATGCGTGAGCCAGGCAGAATCCACAGGAAACAAAACTTTGACAAAGGAAACAAAACGGTTCACACGAGAAAAGAAGAAGCATAGTGAAAGCACACTGAAAACGCGTGTGACAGTACACTGAACACTGGGAAAGTGCGAAATAATTTGGGACCCTAAACTGCATGATTACCGAAAATAAGAGCGCAAAGATCTGTTGGGTCTTGTTGTGCCGGTGCGAGAGCCCTAAGTGCATGGCAAAATAGAACTGTTTCATCCACAATGCAGAATGTCTTGCGGTACATGGCATTGATGACTGAACATCTCGCCCAAATGGGGATCATGCCCAAACGGAGGAACAAGACATCTTTCCAGCTCAGCTAGCTATATAGTATATACCGTGAAACGGATGATTAACTTGTGCCACGCATGACAGCTTCTGTTCCATTCGGCCCAGGCTTAGACACATCAATGCCAATAGCAGCTGATCCTCCATTACATGCTCATTGGCGATTTACGGCCACCTCCAACTGTATCCGCCGTCCCTCAGCTTCCGTCTTCGCAGATCTGGCTCGGCGCAGTACATTTTCTCGGCTAAGCTCAAAGAAGTTCCACAGAGCGGTCCAAACACCTGAAGGCAAACCAGTCAGAAACTGGAGCGGCTCAGAGTCTTTCTTTATGTTATTGTACGTAAGCTGTTTTTCGGCTTTCTTCACCCCATCGTCCAACTGCTCCACGAGACTCTGTACACGAGCTCTACTTGCTGCCAACTCCTGATGCAGATGCTGCACTTCCATTACAGGACCAAACTGCACTAAGCCAGGTTCCTTTCCAACTCCAAATGCCGTTGCCTCTCAGCAAAATACTGGTTTGCGAGCATGGGGAGCTCGTGATGCAGACGCTGCACTTCCATGACCGAACTGCACTAGGCTCAGCAAATACTGTTTTGCGAGCATGGGGAGCAGAGCGCCCAGACTCCACTCTCTTGCGAAAAGCAAACCTAGTACCGTAGGACAGCTGTTTGGTTTCCTGGACTCATCCTGCCCTTGTAGAGCTGGGCAAAACGATTTCGAATTCGGGATCGAAATGATCGCTGCAACTCAAATATTCAGAGTGACCCTAAAACTACGTCCTTCCTCACGGGGAATAGCCTGGATCCGCTTGCTCCAGGCCGCTGTGGCTCCACACGAGGAAAGGAGTGAAATGACTTGTTTGCTTCGTCCTCCTGTTCTGACAGTGAGGAACGTAGCAATGATCCTGAGAAGGCATCCTGAAGTCGTAAAAAGAAAGATCTAAACAAAAACAAAACAGCTCAAATCAAAAGTCCTTGTGGCATTTTTGTAGACAGGCTTTCACTGCGTGTAGATTTCGCGTGCTCTGCACTTCGCATGCGAGAAGTCACGCACAGCCGGCCGAGGTGAGGTTGGTCGCGTGTGTGCAGCAGGATCCCACGCGGCTGCGGAGTTGCCCCCTTGCTCGAACCCAGACAATAATAAGGGGATCGGTCAGTAGTACAGTGCTAGTGACTATGTCCTTCGAACGCTCATTTCGAAGTGAGAGGCAGTTGCATACCTGTTATTCGAAGTTCATTCTTGTCTCCTTCTCTAGCCAAGAGTAGCTCAAACATCGATCCCTGATGCGCTCCAGGATGGAAAATAGCGTTCAAGAAACCCACCTTCTCTCGAAATTTGATTCAAGCCCGTGCGAGGCAAAGTGCAAAGATTTGATTGGAGACGACTTCTTCCAGGTGGCTGACTCCCTTCGCGGATCTCAGTGGGTTGGCGAACAACAACACTGGAAGTCGTAAAAATTGTCTATGCCGAGTATGCTCCACTTCCGTTCTTCAGAACGACGTGCTGCTGTCCAGCGGTCTTCATGACGCGGATTAGGAAGCGCTGTACTTTTCGATTGAAATTGTTTCAGGACAGCTGCAGTGACTGACAACTTCTTCACTAGAAGATGAAGATAATTTGTCAAATGACTCTGTGTCGATCCAGTGTTTTGATGAAATGAACTGGTCTGTTGTACATGTCTGTACATTAACACGTCCCTATGTTTCGTTGATGCAAGTAAAATGTGCAAAATATTCAGCATGCGATTTTGAGCATTTTGACATACGTATCAGTGCATGGGGCTGCATTTGGATAATTAGAAATAATTTGGGGCCTGGCAATTCGAGGGTTCGAATTAAAGGGAGTCTACCTGTATCAAGTAGTCGGTGTGGATTATTCTGTGTTCTCCGTTAACATTGTGTGTCTGTTTCTCATACCTTGTGAGCGTACACTGTACGCTGTACACTGGTACTTCACATACTGCATAGAACCAGCTGCTGCATCACACAGTCATGATAGGCTTCGCAGAACTGCTACAATCATGGGCAATGTTTTGGTGGTGTTTGAGTGCCTTGACCAGGCGGCAAGACTGAGAGTAGAGTGTCACGTACTGACAGTTCTGCGGCTGCCTGGTAGTCCATGCTGGCCTCTATCTAGCCTCTGCTTTGCAGGGACTGGTGTAGAAGAGGCGTTGCTCGCCGTGCAGAATGCCTCAATCACGGCGTACCCATACGAGTATGCAGTAGCTGTGCAGTCTGCACTGCGGCTTGTACAGCCTGATCAGTAGCTGTGCAGTGTGCACTGCGGCTTGTACAGCCTGATCAGTAGCTGTGCAGTGTGCACTGCGGCTTGTACAGCCTGATCAGTAGCTGTGCAGTGTGCACTGCGGCTTGTACAGCCTGATCAGTAGCTTGTATGCTGCACCATGCACAACAAACTGGTACCGCACTGTCCGAAGCGTAAGCCGCATCCAGATTTTTTGTCAGGAAATACAGACATCTACCCTGTATGTGTAGCTGTGTACCCGTTCATTTGACCATCGCAGGATAAGCCGCACCGGCTGTTGTGTTTGGGCGAACTAAGAATGTTTACTGTGCGCCCTATACTCCTGAAAATACGGTACTTGTTTTTCACCGGACATGGTGCTCTGCTATTGTTGTTCTCTGTATGCATGCACAGACTAAGCGAGGACATGGTGCTCTGCTATTGTTGTTCTCTGTATGCATGCACAGACTAAGTGAGGACGTGAAGGCAATGTGTGCACACAATGGCAACGCGGCACTGGCGGAGGGTCGCGATGACCTGCGCCGTGCCTGGCAGGTGATGCAGGCTGTCACCGAGTCTCACACCTGTGTGGACTCGCTGACGGCGGAAAGCAAAGACCTGGTCACACCGTGGCCGCAGCACCCGTTCGGGCGGCAGATGGCAGCGTCCTTGTACGTGCCTGTACCTGTACACAATTGCACTGTATCTATCCATGTGTGTGTGTGTGTCTGTCTGTCTGTCTGTGTGTGTGGTGTGTGTGTGTGTCTGTGTGTGTGGTGTGTGTGTCTGTGTGTGTGGTGTGTGTGTGTCTGTGTGTTTGTCTGCATGTCTTTGCGTCTGTCTTGTGCTCTCGCCGGTGTTGTATTTTGTCATGTCTCAGTCACTATGGAGTCTGCACTATCTGTGTGTTTGCTACAGTTGGGGATGGAGAAATCCAGCCTGCTAGCATAGGGGACTGTATCACTTTGGGGATGGAGAAATCCAGCCTGCTAGCATAGGGGACTGTATCACTTTGGGGATGGAGAAATCCAGCCTGCTAGCATAGGGGACTGTATCACTTTGGGGATGGAGAAATCCAGCCTGCTGGCATAGGGGACTGTATCACTTTGGGGATGGAGAAATCCAGCCTGCTAGCATAGGGGACTGTATCACTTTGGGGATGGAGAAATCCAGCCCGCTAGCATAGGGGACTGTGCCACTTTGGGGATGGAGAAATCCAGCCCGCTAGCATCGGGGACTGTGTCACTTTGGGGATGGAGAAATCCAGCCCGCTAGCATCGGGGACTGTGTCACTTTGGGGGCTCTAAAATTGTAGCACAGCCAGGTGCACGTGTACCTGGCGCAACCGTTTCAACCGGGTTGCAGCCGGGTACACATGTACCTGGCGCTGTCTTACCAGCCGAGTCACATGCTTTAACTGGTTGGTTGGTTTATTTTAATTCGGACAATAAACGGGAACTAGGCCCAATGATATAAAGGCCAATGGATAAGCCGCCTTTAGAAAAGAGAGGACAGGAATTAGAAAATTACGAAAGGAGAAGAAGTATCTGACACATACAAGCCATGTAGTCAGTCCTTTCAAAGTTCGAAAGTGTAAAGTACCAGCCGGGTCACAGGTGACCCGGTACTATATTTTCAACCGGGTCCAAGCGCCGCCCAACCGGGTGGATTACCCGGCTCACCCGGCGCTGGAGCAGACACTGGGATGGAGAAATCCAGCCCGCTAGCATCGGGGACTGTGTCGCTTCCTGGCCCTAGACCTAGTGTATGCTGTGGTCCCGCAACCGCTTAGCGCCAGGTTCCGTCCCCAATGCTGAACTTAGGTTTGGCCTTGACTGCACTAAGTCGTGTACATGTTTCAGATGTGCTATTGTGTATGCGTTTTGTGGATGGGTGTCCGTACATGTATGCACGTTCACTGGTAGCTGTACAACCTGTTTGTGTATGATAGCGTATGGTTGTTTCTGTTCAGTACTGCTGCGACTGCTGTTATAATGACTGCTGTAAGACCAGTGATGTTAACGAACATTTAATTCCAACGATTTAACGAATTTAAAAAAATCATTAGCATTTGAAGTCGTTATGTGCAAAACGATATATATGTACATGTACAGTCATTTGCCGCTTTTGAGACAGAATTCGTTAGAATTTCACCTCGCTAACCAACAAAAATCCGGAGATTGTTAACTTTAATTCACGTTTTAAAAATATCTGGTCTTACAGTATAACTCTAGTTGTGACTGTCCCTGTGACTGTATTGTTCCGCTGTGTAGGATCCGCCACTACAGCAGTGTCAACGACATCCAGGCAGTGGCTCTGCTGGCCTGCGCTTGCTTCACCTATCTGAGGTGCAAGCAGCCCGCACCGCCGCCACCGCCCCCGCCTCCCGCCATTCTCGGGCCGGCAGCAGTGACTGCGGCAGCTCTCCCAGCTCCGGCTCAAACTAGGGTATGTGCACTGGGTCTGTGTCTGGTGTGTCAGCTGGCTTCCGCGAGGCTATCAGTATACTTGCATTGGGTTTTCCCCTGGAGTCTTCAACACCCTAAGAACTGGATTTTCCCCTGGAGTTGTAGCACCCTAAGAACAGGGTTTCGGTGCTTTAAAGCGAGACTCAGTAGCTTCCTGTGCCTTGGCCCGAATCCACTCCACCCTAGCCGAGTCCACCGCGCTCCGTGCCCTTGTCCTGGCCGCCTTGAACCCGCAATGGGACGGGGTATCGCGCTGCTGACCCTGGTGCACCCAGGAACGATAGGCAGCATTGCGGTCATTTAGAATCGGCTGTAGCGTAGGCATCGCCTCGCGAAATCAGTCCGATTGGTATCGCTTAGTGTGACCGAGCGTGGCAGATGCAGCCAAGTCCAGCGTGGATTTGATGACAGGCCACTAGCTGTCCACGTCAGCGTCCTCTACCCATGTTCGCTCTAGTTCTCCAACAACAGTCGCCTGATATATCTCAGCAGGTGTGGGCTCTTCCGCCTCCGCACGGGTAGGCCGCACCCGTATTTGCGCGACATCGTATCGCCGGGGACCATTACCGCCGCTGCACTTCAAAGGCCGCAGCCTTCCGGACAGTTCAAACACTATGCATAACAGTTGGTGATCGCTACCGCATTCAGCATTTCTAATCACAGATACATCCGAACAGTGCCGGTGGTCCACATCTCAAACCAGAATGTATTCGATGCAGTGCCATTGCAGGGCACCCGGGTGCTGCCAAGTGCGTTTGAACACGTCTCGCTTGGGGTACCAGGTGTTGGTGACACATAACTGGTTCATGGCAGCAAAGGACAACAGCTCTGTCCCTGAAGAGTTCAGGGAGCCCATGCCGTGGTTGTCCCGGACACCTGCAGGTCGTCATAAAATTGTTCCTTGCTCGCACGACTATATCCGTAAGGTGGAGCATAGGAGCACGCCAGGGTAAGCCATTCTGCAGATCCATCAGCTAGTTCAAACTTCAGGCGGCATGAGACGACACGCGAACTCACCGGCGTCCAAATGCTACACACACACACACACACACACACACACACACACACACACACACACACATACACACACACACACACACACACACACACACACACACACACACATACATACATACATAAACACAAGAAAAATGTTAGAAAAGAAACCAAAGATTTCTCGGGAGAACAAAGTATGGAGGCATTATTAATTTATTATCCTTCTGTCTAGCTAGGCTAAAATCATAAAAACTTTAAACGGGAAAACAGACATCAATAGTCCTGCCATTAGCCAAAAGGCAGTGATCTCCTGTTTTCAAGGAAAAACTCCAGAAAACTGACATGAGAAACTCAACAAATGAGAAAAAAAACTTCCGAATCAAATTGTCACTCACCATGTTCTCATTTTCCACAAGCATCCTGCAGACCTCTCGGTAGAAGTTGGCAAATGGTGAAGAAGAGCAGCGCTGTGCTATCATGCTAAATAGCAGAGTGGATGTATGACGATGACTTTTGCTGCACCACGCCAGCAAAACCAGTGAGGCATTCAGCCGACTGGGTCCAGCGGATGACACTGACGTGGCACCAGCAAGCTTGCTGATTTCCCTCTCACTCACGTCTACATGTGATTGGAGATCACTCAGGAATGCAGAATCTCGCAGACTCTCCAGTCGATCCATACATTGGGCAGGAAGCATACTGATGTACGTGGCAGGAACGTAGTGGAGATCTATCGCGCAATCAACGAATTCACCGCCGGTGTCTTGAACCTGTCTGCATTGCGGGCTGTTGGCAGCACGAACGACGGCTTCGGATGAGTAGGACGCAACAGCTGAACAGATGGCAGCTGGTAAAGCCGATTGCTCGATAAGCTGATGCATGCTGCTCAAGCTGAGTACAGTTGGCTCTACAGAAGTACCACGGCTACATCTCTTGAGTAGATCACGGAAGAGAGCTTGAAATAGCCAGTGGACATGGTGAACTACTTGCAGGTACCCACTGCAACTGGACGTCACTACAATACAGCAACGCTGATGATTGGACGAAAACACAAGCAGCGCTGTTGTGTGCGGATACGGGTGCACAGTCACAATGATGGCATTCTTGAAGAACATGAGATCAGTACTGGAGACAAAGCAGGCGGATTAGTCGTACACACGTGCTTGGCATTGCACAATGAGTGCAGAGGGAAATGGTGCGCAGCCATTGAAGGTGTGCACAGAGCCAACCATGAAGGCTCTGTGCATCTGCAATGGCTGTGTGCACTCAGGAAACAGGGAGAGGGCAAGGATATCTTTCTCATGGCGAATGGTCAAGCCGAGCTGCAAGACCATGTGCACGCAGAGTGGGACTTTTTCACCCAGTTGGGAAAGGCAGTCAGGGCACGGATGAAATTGTCCTCGCTGATCTTGAATACTCTACCTGCGCCTTCAGATTTGGATGGGAAAACGTGCGAAGAGTAAATGAATCCGATGACATCTTGCAGGAGCCAGCGAGGCTGGTGAACCACCAGATCATCCAGCTCTGGGAATGTGATGATCTTTAGCAGAAACCAAAGTCATACCACGTACACACATAATGACAGATACACAGACAGGCAAACAGACCGACCGACAAACAGACAGAGTCGGAGGTTTCGCATGAGCCAGTAAATTGATTTGCACAAGCATTTCAACTGATAATGTAATCGTATAACCAGGTTACCTCCATATTGGTACACCTCCACACTCAATACCAGTATGCGAATATCAAACAAATATTTTCTAGATTTACTTCAAGTACTAGTATAACTGTATTATGGAAACGTTTCAATAGGCGCTTTCGATTACACGTTTACACAATTTTGGAACTGGGTTTTGTAATTCTCGAATGACCAGAATGTACGCATTCCGGCCATGTAAACGAACGGTCGTACGACTGGAATTCACAACACATTTTATTCATGGCATATCACAAACGAAATTGGTCGTAGAAAGAGATCGCGTACACCCTCGCGCGCACGTGGACCCAGCTTCGCGTACCGGTCTATCCCGGTGAAGGCTCAATGTCAGCAACAATATTGGGCTTCGATAAAGCTGAACGCGTGTGCGAAAGGACCACCCAAAATGATCTGGTCTAATGATCAGCTCCCAGCGGAAACTCACAGGGTTCGCAGCGAAGTTTGGAAGTCTGGAAAAAGTTTGGATTTTATAATTCAATTTTCCAGGTCTGGAAAAAGTTTTGAAAAGGCGCTCCTTTTGAAAAAGTTTGGAAAAAGTTTTGAATTTCGATTTTTTGGCCGCAGATGTGCTGCACTCCTGCACTGCTGCAGTGCAAGTGGCCGTTTTGAGTGCCGCGATAGAAGACGCGCTGGCGATGCGTGGTGTTCACTGCATGTCCATATATGTACGAGTCAGTCATTTCAGTGCAGCTCAAGCGCAGCCGGTGATGACTTTTATTTGGCCGTTTTTTGTTTCTGGCGCTCGCGCTCGACTTTGATTCTTTGAAGTCGGGACAGCAGGATGGCGAGGTCCTTTCGGACTCAGACGAGTTTGCTGGCGAGGATGAAGCCATCTTTAGCGCTGAGATGGACACCAGCTATGTAAATGTTTCATTGGAACACCTCTGGAGGCGGATTTGAACTTACGGAGGGAAACTCTCGTCGTATGAATTCCCCTGCTATTTTCAGGGGCTCTAGCTGCTGAAGGCGATATCATCGCAATGCACCTTGGTGAATTTGTTGATGGTAGTAGTACCAGGGAGGATTTTACGACTCCCTAGTTGTACTCGTAGTGGAGAAGACAGTCGTGCAGAAGAGATTTATAATTTATTTTTCCTGCACGAGTGGGTTTGGAAATTCTTGAAATTGGTTTGGAAAAAGTTTGGAAAAAGTTTGGAATTTTGTGTGCTTGGTTGGCTGCGGACCCTGAACTCAACTGCGGCAATTAGCTTTTCGGGAAGACAAAAGTAGCAACTACATGCAGTTGTAGCTCTGCTTTCGTGCCACACCGGCCAGGAAGGCTCTTCCTTGACTTAGGGGTCGTCGCAAAAGTTTTCTGTCGTCCCTGAAACGAACATCGTTCAGTTCGTACTTGGACCCCCTCCCCTCCCTCTGAAACGAACACAGCTTGCTATGCTGGACTACGAAAATCGCATGCATGTGCATGTCATATGTACAGTGTCGGTCGACTTGCGATTTTGGCTCGCAGCCCCTCCCCCCCCCCCCCCCCCCCAAATGAATCATGTTCGTTTCAGGGACGACGAAAAACTTTTGCGACGACCCCTTAAGTCATGCATGACCAGACCGGTAACACACCGAGTGTGCAATTCTGGCGCCAGAATTAGAGAAATTCCGCTCTCTCTTCAGAATTGACGGAATTGGATAAAATTAATTCTAACGACGGAATTTGTGTAATCGAACTGTGCATCAACATTAACTAATTCTAGAATTGACCGATTTGCGTGTAATCGAACGCGCCCAATGATTCTTTTTGGCTCAGCAGCACTCATACATAAAAATGCACGTGTCGGATTTCCACCACTGCATGGACATGGCTAAAAAGGGCACTTTTTCAATTGTTTAAAAACACCAACAGCGTTTGCCCCTAGCTAGTCGAATGATCCCATCCAAGCAGTGTTTTCCGTGCCTACTAGATAGAGGTCTCCACTGCTGCCTGTAGTGGACTGGATGTACAGGCTGCTGTGGGGAATGAATACCCATGATGATGCTATAGTGGACTGGATGTACAGGCTGCTGTGGGGAATGAATACCCATGATGTTCGCTCACTTTTGTACATGCTGTAGATTACTTCATATTATTTTGCGATGCGCATGTACTGTGGCCACCCGTAAGAGCAATCAAGTTTGGAAAGTGGCATACGATAGATGTAATCTCCTTAGCCCTCGCCGATCGTGACGCTTCCACATCATCCCTCATGCTCATGGTATCTTGTTTGCGTAATTCTGCCTCTGTCTCCCCCCCCCCCCCCCCTCAAGTTTTCTTCTGCTGTTTGGCTTTTCTGTAGTCTTCATCATTCGTCGCCTCCAGTTCATCGTCGGCCTCGACCCCGTACCATGCCTCCACACCATCCGGTGCCCACCTCTACAGCAGCAACTCCTCTCCCAGTCATCACCATCACCATGGCAGCCACGGCGGCAGCCATGGTGTTGGTGGCAGTGGAGGTGGAAGTGGAGGGCTGCAGCAGCAGCGTGGCATCGGGAAAGCACTGGCCAGCGCGTACCACTCCATGACGCTGGCCTTGCCAGACGCCCGCATGCCACGCACCACCACGCTAGCATCGTCGCCGACGCTCAGCACCCCGTACAACCTGTCCGGTGAGCTGATGTCGCCGGGCTATGGAGATAGCCCTTCAGACGACGAGCACTTTCTGCGGACAAGGTAGGGCTTAGAGGGCGTGATCTTTGTATGCAATGGGGCCAGGAGATTCTGATTCTCCACTTCTGTTACATCAGGTTGGTTCAGGCTTCTTTAAATATATTCTGACTTTCAGTCAAAACGTGTTCAGTCTTGCAACACCATACACTTATTGAAATTATTTTGGTCATTGCCTGCCCTTAAAATAAAACCAAACTCGTGCAAAATGTATTTGGAAGCTGAAGCTGTGGCAAGTGAAGTCCGAAAAGATGTAAACTTGCAGTGCCAAATGTCATGCAGCCTTGCACCCCTACCAAAGTAATCCATGTGCAATGAAAACCCCTTCCCAAGGTTATCCACTTGAAATGAAAACCCCACCCCTTGAAATGTGTTTTCAGCACAGAAAGTAGTTTTCACCTGTGTGAGTTTCACTTGCCACGACTGTACATCTCAGCATGTGCTCTTTGATTACATGTAGTGTGTTCGTCATGCACCTTGACGTCTGTGTGTTTACGTGACTATTGTGTTCGTCACCTTGACGCCTGCGTGTGTTCTGCTGTAGCTTGCTGGATGCGGATACGATAGACAGGTGTCTGCAGTGCTGCTGGTGGTATGCCGAGGTACTGCACCGCTGGGAGATGTTCGAACAGAGGGCAGAGCTGCTGCATTGTGTCGGTGCCATCTCCACGCAAGAATCCACCGATCGGCACGGTATGCTCACGTACATGTACTTTCTCTTTGCCATGGCACTTAGGCTTGCTAGGCGCATCATTGTATTGGCAGGGACTGGGTGTTGGCTATAAATTCACCTCTGCCATCATGGTCATCTTCGCCTGTGCGGTGAAGCTTCAGAATAGGTTTTCCTTTGCTATAGCGAGTCCGATTAGTGCAGAAACCGCATTAGTAAATAGTACTAAATACATGTATAAATCTAGGTTCTCCCCTTTTAAAATGCGGTGTGCGTGACTGTTTACCAGTCCGGACGCAACATTATTCATGTGCAGATAAAAACCCGTTACTCCAACCATCTTTCCTCGCCCCTGGGGAAGGTAGCATCTTGATAAGGTAGAAAATTCAAAATGTTCCGAATGCAGGTACAAGACAGATAATCAAGCAGGGAGACACACGTAACATTATTTTCTTAATTCTTCAGTGTGGATATACTTGATAGTAGAGAGGTTAAGATGCACCTCATTTCCGACGTGACGCGCAATTTCACGTCAAATTTGGCATAAAACTCCAAATTTCGACATGAGCTGCAGGTCACTCGCGTTGTTTTTCGACGCGCGAGCCAAATAACGCGAGCTGAACTTTCGCGTCACGTCAGAAACGAGAGAGCTTGGAAGCTCAGGGCCCTACGCTATGCTTTTTTGCCTTGATGACCTAGACCAAAAAAAGCATAGGGATGTTATAAATTCTTATAAATTTCTCATTTTTTTTAAGACATAACCTGGGATTCGAACCCGCACTATCGCCCTGCATGCATCCCCCGATACACTTCGCATACATACATACTAATTCTTCCAAGTTGCTTCACGTTATGATCTTTCATTTGAAAGCCCTATTTGAATATGCATTGTGGCCAGCCGTCTTTGATGGCCCGGTACGGGACAGGTACGGTCGACGTAATACGACACCGTCTACCGCATTGATGACATAGCCAAAAAAAAGCATAGGGATGTTATATATTTTTTAATTCTCCTTTTTTTCAGGCATAACCTGGGATTCGAACCCGCACTATCGCCCTACATGCATTCCCTCATACACTTCGCATTCATACTCATTCTTCCAAGTTGCTTCACGTTATGATCTTGCGTTTGAAAGCCCTATTTGAATATTGCGGCCAGCTGCATGTGGCCAGCTAGCTGTGTTTGATGGTACGGTACGGGACAGATACGGGATAGCGCCAGGCGTGACACAAACAAACAAACACCAAATTAAAAGCTGTGTGGACCCTGGCTAGCGCCAGACGTTACTGAAGTAACGTCTTCTGCATAGCTACGGGAATAACGTGCATCTTAACCTCTCTAGTCTGGAAGGACTGCATGTACTTTCAAAGAACGTCACATCTTCCGTATCTGACATATGAACAGTCAAACCTGTTGTGAAAATATTTAATTGAAACTATTTAGTAACGAGTTGTGGTAACGTGTTGCGGTAAGCACGAATCAGTGCTCACTGCATGTATAATTGCAAGTCCTGTTATGCATCTAAAATATGTTGTCTCTCTAATATTTCTATGGCCAAAGCATGTGTCTGCTAACGAGGGAGGACGTGTATACGTAAAGCACCCTTGCCGTAATATACTTTTTGCTTGGCATTGGGTGTAAAGTACATGTAGAGGACCCTAGCTGCGTATTCTTTTCCGATCATGTGACCTCCGGGGTGTAGAATACCGTACTTAGCCCGTACTCCCCCACCGCATGCGCTCTCCGACCGACCTCGTCCACCACACCAGCAACACGACTCCCAGTTACTGTACAGGCAGAAAATGTTGTCGGTCAATAATTTCGTCCAACTCCAAAGCAAGGGAAGTTCGTCCGGTTGTAGATTCCGTCCATGGATCATAAGAGTGTATTGAGAAGCTGGACAAATCGACATTAGTCCGGCATTTAATTTAGTCCGAAAGCTCCTTGGACGAAAAAGACGAAAGTAAATTCCAGACGAAAATTTCTGCTTATACAGTTTAGTAGATACTGGCATCAAAGCTGCTGCTGCTTACCCGCCTCCTGCCGAGTCCTGGCTATGTAGAATGCCTCTGCTACATGTATAAAGTACATATCATATACAGATGTTTAATACATGTACCTGGAGACTAATGGTGAAACGAATATACCGAATGTTCGAATATTCGTTCGGTTTGACACATTGGAACGAATATTTCTCATGGCGAATATTCGTTAACCCGGTCTGCAGAATCAACCGGGCGACTTCAAACTTTCGTAACTTCGTGAATACTTGACCGAATCGCTTCATTGAAAGATCTATCGGCATTAGCAAACTCTCAGCTGTTGTTTAGAAGCCACCCGAACACAATCCGAGGTCCTGGAGGGGAGGTATGGCGCTCGAACGAAAATCACGTCTCAAGCTGGTTTTTGAGCCTGTGAAAGGCACTTCAGCTGGGGATTTTTGTGAAAAATGACCTAGAAATGATGGAGAAGTATATGCCTTCGTTCGTCATGCCTAATAATAGTGACAATATCCCATAAAATGACTGAGAGGAGGGCATGTGATGTCATCCATGTTAACGAAATAATATTCGTTCGTTCGTTCGTTAAGCCGAAGAATATTCGGCTACTGGGTTTTGATATTCGTTTCACCACTACTGGAGACGTACTATGTTTCTCTGTACTGGGCGCTGAGGACCTGACTGATGGTGTGAGAAGAGTGTCAAGAAGAACACAATACTTTTCTTTTCAAGGTTCGCGTGAGACTCGGCTGGAGGCCGAGTTTTCCGCAGCCGTAGGAACGCCACCACCCTGCAAGGATCAAGGCGCAGACGCAGCTCCTAGAGCGGTGGAAGGTGAGGAGATCGGACGCACCAAAGTGGCCAAAGACCGAAAGTCCCATTCACTGCATCCATGCTTGCAATAAAGAGGAGAAACAATTACTCTATCTCCACACAGCTAGCTGTTGTTTTGACATTGTTTTAAGTCTCATCAGCTCTGTTGCCACACCTGCTGACATGTCGGTAGACTGCCGATTTCAGAGGCATGTCAGGACCTGCCGACAATTGACCTTCTGCCGACACTAGTCCTGAAAAGTCCAATTTTGACCTTCTCGGTTTAGAAGACATGGTCCAGATTTTTTGTTTTTCTGATGGTCATGAGTATTTTCCAGTCAGAATGGCTGGTCGACCAAGTACAGTCAAGTCTTGTGAATAACAAAGCAGTTTTATATCAACTCAAAGCCTCAAAGTCAGACTGAGAGTGCCTCTGCCTGTGAGAAACACAGCAAGCGTTGCAGGAGGCCGGCAGAGAAGTTCCACACTGGCCAGCAAGAGTGCAGCCAAGCCAGGGGCGAAGGAAGGCGAGCGAGCATGATACTCTGTCTCCGAACAGCTAGCTGTTTTTGACATTGTTATAATCTCACCAGCATACATGATGCCGTTCAGAGTGACTGACAGAGGTTAAACTATAGTGCGTTTCAAAAGTATAGACCTCTAGACTTTTTCGAATAATTCAAATTTGGTTTGAGCTTTTTGAGAAATTTCTTCGGAATATTACTCAGGCAGCACACGCAATTTTTCTCATTTAAATTTCTAAGCGATTGGATAGCAGACACCCAATTTCGAAAATTGTATGCACAAAGTGATCACAGATTTTATGTGGTATAGATGCTGGCCTAACAGCTTTTTGAAACCAGAGGTCTGGACTTTTGAAACGCACTTTAATTACGCTCAGCAGCTAGATGTGTATTATAACTTATTAAAAGCACCGAGTATGATCTTTCAGTGGTGTGAAGCGACCCCCTACACCGTGCCTGGACTTTCACACTAGCTGCACTATCCATCACTTTGTTGTCTGGTTGGCTATTACCGGTAGCTGAGGTGCTTGTCACACTTTACTGAGACTCCTCTCTGGTACGAGTGGGCCGGTGGTGTTTTTGAGGATGGTGGTTCTCTCTTTACTACAGCGAAACTCGCATAGCACATGCATGCACTGTGACAACACATACACTGCAGGATGCCTGTTGAGGCATGGACGGCCGCTTACATGCACTGTGATAACACATACACTGCAGATGCCTGTTGAGGCATAGCCGGCCGGACCAACTGTTTGGCCACCAGCCCATGTTTACTGCCAAGGAGGTCATGTTTGCCTGCCATATCTTACACAACGTATAAACTTAAAGGACTCTGGTATTATTATTATTTATTATTATTGTACAGGTTTGCATAATAGAGATCAAATATTTTGCGTAGCGAAAGTAATACCTCATTCCGCTTCTGCATTTCTGATTGCCGAGAAGCGTATCGTAATGAGCTAGCGGTAAAGTATGTGAATACTAAAATATTAAAACACGGCTGGTTTGATAGGAATGAAATTCTATTGTTGAATATGGATATTGACTCTGGTATGGCCGGACCAATCAATAACTTCTTCCGTTGGTCCTGTTGTGACTATTACCTCATTGAAGATGACGGTGTGAAAGGCCTCATCAAATTTTCCAAAGGAAAACATCAATCCCATCGTTCGTTTCTGACCTAGAAGAAACATGTAGACAATGCTCGATTACTAGTAGCAGACAGCGAATTTGGACCCAAAATACTGGACAGCTAACGTTATAGCAGTAAAGCTACGTATCCAGTATTGCATCTTCATTTTCAGAAAGATAGGGTTGAAACAATCAAAGGCCTCCTCGAATACATGTACAAGACCGGGGGAAGTGCTGGCTGAAAACCTAGTAAACTGGTACTGGTATATTAATTGCAGAAGTACAGTTTCAACATCAGTAAACAAAATGTGGATCATGACGCTTCAAAGCCTGCTGACCAAGAAGTGCCTTTCCCCAGCTGATGATCTCCTCGTCGCTGGGGAGTTTAGGGATGTCACGGGAGCCTGGGCAGAGATGCAGCTGCTGCTGAGCTTCGGCAATTGTGTAGTTTTTGCCGCCGCACGCGATGAGAATTTGGCGAGATGGATGGTGGTAGACGGTGTTGTCGTGGATTTCGGGAGGAAAGAACATGTGCGGGTGCTTTGTGCTACCGC